TTGTTCAACGGTTTCTGATGGTATAATCACGTCATCGAGATATACCAATGCATATTTAAAGTCAGTGAAACTAAAATTTCATTCATGGCTGACTGGAAGACAGTAGGCGTATTGACTAGGCCAAATGGTACTCTTAGAAACTCATAGTGTCCATCAGGTGTAACAAAAGCTGTTTTTGGGATAAAGTCTTCCTCCATAGGGATCTAATGGTACCCAGATGCCAAATCCAGGGTGATGGAAAATTTATTACCTTGAAGATTATCTAAAAGGTCATCTATTCGAGGCAAATGTGAGACCATTTTCTCAGTCTTGTTGTTCAGCAAACGTTATTCTACGCACATTCTAACTTCGCCATTTTTTTTCTTGACCAACAAAATGGGACAAGCATAGGGAGAATCAGATTCTCTGACAACTTCGTTATCCAGAAAGACCAGTTTAGCGAAAGCATTTTCTTGTTCTTCGCCCCAAACAAAATTACAATCTTTTCGCGTTAATGAGGCTATAGGTTCTGCTGTGCCAGCGAATACCTTTATGAACTTGCGGAAATAACTGGCCAAACCTAAGAATCGTCGTTCGTCTTAGACAGTTTTAAGTGTTGGAAACTCTGAAACAGCATTAATTTTGTCTGGTTTCGGCCTAATTCCTTCCCTTGGTACTTCATGCCCCAAGTATTTAATTGTTGATAACAGGAAATTGCATTTGCTGAGTCTCTTTTGAGACTAATCCTTTCTAAGCCTTGTACGACGGTTTCTGATGGTATAATCACGTCATCGAGAAATGCCAATGCATATTTGAAACGTAGTTAACCTAAAATTTTATTCATGGCTAACTGGAAGACAGTAGGCGCATTGACTAGGCCAAATGGTACTCTCAGAAACTCATAGTGTCCATCGGGTGTAACAAAAGCTGTTTTTGGGATAAATTCTCTCTCCATATGGATCCAAGGCGGTGAAAAATGTCTTACCTTGGAGATTATCTAGAAGGTGATCTATTCGAGGCAAATGTGAGACCATTTTCTCAGTCTTCCTGTTCAGCAGACGATAATCGACGCACATTCTAACTTCGCCATTCTTTTTTTCATGACCAATAAAATGGGACTAGGAATCAATCTCAAAATCCGTCGTAGAAGTGATAAAAAAACTTATTATACGAGGGAAAAAATAGAATGGGCAGTGAAAACCTTCCACCCCTACAAGTCCGCAGGACCCATAATGCCGATTATGCTATGCTACAAAAATTCCTGGAAAGCATTATATAACCAATGCTTAACCCTCCGTAAGGCGCATGGATTACATATGTAATCCACGCCCTTTTCAGCGGTGGTCAATTAAACGACGGCTTGAGAGTGGAATCGTCCGCTTCAGTAGCTGTTCAGAATAAACATAAGAACCTCCTCAGTATAAAATAAACAGGTGAATTCTGCGTTGTTCTGAGTTAGGGGCTGTCAAATACGACTGGATTACAATTGTACTCCACCCGCCTAACCGTGTTACATTTTGCTGAGTGCACAACTTGGAGTTTTGGCTGTTGGAACGTGTTTTCGAAGTTTTATTGCCATAAAAAAAAACAAAACCAATTTATCATATAACACAAAAATAGCTTTTGTTCATTTGCAAACTTAGTATTTTGAACTTGGACAGATTGTTACGTTCTTTTGTTGTAGTCGTTGTCCTGATATGCCAGCATATTGCATTCGATATTGCTAAATTTGCTCAAGAAGTCGTTATGACGTGAAAAATTCACTAAAAATTTAGCAAACATACATGCAAAGATCATATGAGAAATGTGTACACGGCATGACGTTTGTAGGGTAAAAAATGATGTATGTTTGAGTTGCGTTTTTTCATTTATATGTTTCTATATTTTTTTAGTGTTCAGTTCATGTTAAGTAGACGTTTATTTTTTCATAAACAAAAAATATATTTAATTTGGTTTGTTAAAATTTTTGGAACCATTTTTTAAGAACCTGCTTTTGAACACCTTTAAAAACACGTTTATATGTTTTAATTTCCCTATAATAAAATTTAGATAGAATATGTGTGTAAATGTGTTTTATGCATTTCAACATAAATAATCATTTATTAGAGACAGTTTCATATTTTTTTTTTGAAAATAATGCTTAGCAGGAGCCAAATAAATTGGACTATCATTGTACTAAACGCGCCTAATGGAGGGTTAAGATATTTGCTGATTGCTTAAGCTTAACACTCACACACATACTTACAACAGCAAGATAGAAGGAAGAGAAGGTCGTCTTTATACCTGAAGCAGGTGAATCAGGCGAATCAACCTCAAAAGCCTATACCTAGACCAATTACTTTATCATCATTCTTGTTGAAAACTAGCTATAAAGAAGCTAATTGATCCACGGGAATAAACACGCAATGCCCAGACCATCATGCACGCACCTGAAAAAAAGGTCAGTTGAAAATCCACTGCATGAAGTAGTTGGAACCATTGAAAGATCTTTTGAAAATCAAGGATACACACCAGGAGCATTCAATATTGTAATGATTGAGTGCATTAGAAAATCCATGGAACAACTGAAACAACACTCATCATACAATGGGTAATAAAAATGCTGAAAAGCAGAATCATTAATTTAGAAATTGGGGACTATACCATAAGGAGAAGAACAACCACAAGGAGGAGTGATATCTCCATTTTTGTGGCTGTTGGTGATCAATAAAGATTCTAAAAACATTTAGAGAAAGGAGGATAAAATTGATTGCGTATGCTGCCGTTGTAGTAGTTGATAAGCTGAAGCCCCTAACTAGTACTACTACTAGTAGTACCTACCCCCTAACTAGTACTACTAGTAGTAGTACAAGTTAGGGGCTTCAGCAATCAGCTTATCAACCATCAGTGAAATCATGTAATCAGCATCCAGATGGTCAGGACAGAACTAGCGAAGTATCTAGGGGACGTTCTTGACTCCAAACTCTTGTGAAAGAGAAACAAGCCTATTGACAGAAAGGTGAACTTGAAAATGCTCATCAAAGTACAGAGAATGTCAGCACTCGGTACAACAGGAGAAAAAAGAAGGACACCGCAGGCGGCATTAGAAGTTATGCTGAATTTGCTGCAAATAGATTTGTTCATAAGATGCCCAGCTGCAAAGAGAGCTCTTAGACTAAGAGAATGCAAACTGTAGAAAGAAGCCGACTATGGATACTCGACAATATTTAAGGATACAGCCAAAATTATAAACCACCAAAAGGCCGAAACATTCCTTGAAAGACAACGGACTACATAGTGGCTAAATATTCTTTCGAGGAGAGGATAGAGGCCACTGCTCTGCCTTCAAGAGAAGATTGGGATCAAACCCCTAAACATAGGGACAATAAGATAGTGATGAAGTGATGAGCTGCCGGGAAGTGTTATCAAAGAGTAATGTCGGACTAAGCTAGGCTCCTGGACATAGTAATATCGAAGGGAACGAAATGGCAGATAGACTGGCAAAACCAGGAATAGAAAAGGAACAAGCTGAAACAGACGACCCATCACAACCAACAATCAAAGTGTTGATGGATTCGGGGCGGGTATTATAAAACTATTTTGACAGAATAACTAAAACTTCTGGAATGACGTTACTTCTCATAGTAATTACAGAAGTTGACTTCCAGTTATTCTGTCAAAATAGTTTTATAATACCCACCATTAGTAGACAAAACCATAGCGCAGCTGTATAGCAGGAGATAGAACAATCGCAATGACTGCGTAACATCACGAGATCTGTGGCCAGGAAATTATTGAAACTGGATCAAACAGCGATAAGCACTAGTAGGAGCAATCACAAGACACTGTGAAGTCGAAACAATGCTTCATAAGTGGGATAAACAATGTCAAGAATGCTTACACCTTGTGCAAAGTATTCAGGAGCACCTGGACGTGTAAAAGATAGGGACAATAGAAATACTGAACTCCGTAAAAACCATACACTATGGCACAGAACGAAAAAAGAAGGAACATGTTGAGGGTTTGGAAGGGAACACAATGAGCCAATAGGCCTCCGAGTGCAAGCTCTACAGTTGTAGCTAAAACCCTTTAAATCATAACTTAACCTTACCAAAGGTTTCTGGTGAGGATTTTCATTTTCCATCCAACTTTTTTCTAATTGTCTTTACATTTGCTCTCGACTTTCTTTTTTTTCCTTTTGACTGGTAGGTATTTTTTCTTCTCTTATTTTACTTGTTCTACTATCCTGACCCTATTTGCTCTTTTTTTTCAAATATAATTCCATCAAAAAAGTGATCTTTTGAGATCTCACTGGTAGATTTGAACAAATCCTTGTTAAAAAAAATAAATGTATAAGTCACGGATAGCTCCTCCCTGTATATACCGATACCCCGAGTCAACCCATAGTTGATGGTTTGTATCGAATCAGTATTCAGCATGTTTGTTGAGGAGAGCGAGCAAATACATGTGGAATATAATGTACCAACCTTAAAATGTTAACTTGACAAGAAGGCATTTCGGGTTCATTGATCGCGAATGACCGAGCCTCCTTTTCCGACCCAGAAGAGATAGATGGTAAATTAATACGTTGTCATACGTTTTATAAGAGAACCTGATACTTAAGTGTGTACTACTGTATACTTTAGCATTTTTATATTTCCTATCTAAGTAGAAATTATTCGCTTATGTATGTATTTTGAATGAAGCAGATGGCTGACGATGAACTTTGGAATAAATTGCTGATGAATGAAAAATGAAATTCATGGTTGTTGACGTTTAAACCAAATTTCAATATTCAAACAAATTGATTGCCTGTTGACTACTTAGAAAAGAAGCTCAATTTATTTGTTTACTCGCTATATTAACGGTAGTAGGTAACCTATTAACAACGGTTCTCTTTAAAGTCAAAAAATTTAATAAGGCTTCTGTCCAAATGCAATGACCTTAAGCTCTCGTTAACTACATAATAGAGGAAGTATTTAAATCCACCAGTAAGAAGTCAATTTAGGACAATTTATATCCACTTACAACCACTGCGTAAGAATTTTGTTATAAATTTATTAAGCACTAAAAACTATACAATGTAATTATCACATATACTTAGGTAAAACTTGTTTTTGTTTAATTGCCAACAATATTCAGTCTTTCAATCTAATTTATATACATTTTCTTCAGCTGTTGATGAATTACTTAGTAAGGATTGCTTTGAGGGTTCCGTATTCTCGTCTTCTAATTCCTCTGCTAAGCCTATGATGATCTCCCTGAACACCAAACCATCCAGGTTTTTGGATAAGTATTTCAAAAACAGCCAATCAGTATAGCTGCAGTATTTGGAAACTGTTAAAACGTCCCAGGGGTTGATTTTTCCTGGACACGTGTAGGCAAATACCAGTCGGTTAAAAAGTTTACTTTTGGCATGTAAAAGAACAGTGATTAACCTAAAAAATTAATAATATGTAGTTTTGTTTTTGGGATTAAAAAAATTATTTGCTATATTTACCTCCATACTAGTGCCATAGCGGTACAAATGAAAAGTACCACAAACCAGAACCAAAGAAACGTGTAGATTTTGTCATTGATGATATTGAGGGCCATAATACACATTGCGTCGTGCCACTGTATTGAACCTGAAGGACCGTATTTGTGGAATGTACATTTTGTTACCTATTAAAAATAATATTTAACATTTAATCCTTAGGAAGTTGGTCAGATTTTTTACCTTGGGAAAAACTTCATCTAAAGGATCCACACTGGATTCAAGTCCTTCCCTCCAAACGTCGGCGCCCAAATGAAGAAACTGATTGCTCAAAAACATATCAGCTATATAAATTTGCAATATAACATTCAACAAATTCAAAGTTTCGCAAAACATCAAATTCAACGACCAAGAACCGCTGATGTATATTCTCTCGATGAACGCCTTCCTTATGGTTTTAATTTTGTCCTGCCTAAAAATTTTCAAACAAATATACATTTCGCGTGTCGAATTCCCGACTCGGTAAATTATACCCCCCTATAAAAACAGTTGTAAGCCGATATCTTTGTGGTATGTGTTTGGCTGGGTTCGTCGTGGTCTTGTTTTGTCGCGATGCTATGGTTACCGGAGCGCGGTACCATGCAGAGTCGGCAGAGTACATAAACGTGACCCCCCGAAGTTGAGAACCCAACCTTATTGGATTTTCTAAACTGTTGTTTTGAGTTAATAAATTACTATGTAAAAATCTTAATGCCCGGTAAATCAATGGAGATATTCTTGATATTTATTTTATAAATCTAGTAGATTTAAATCTGGAAATAAAGGTTTTTCAACGGGAATCTATTCCTTAGATGTTCTCTTCCGTTCACGGAAAGTTATCAAACAGAAAAATGGCTGCTTCATCTTTAAATTCCCCTATTTGTGGATACTGTATTGTGATTATAAAAAAATATCAGATCATCATGTGTACAAAAATATCAGGATGTATTTGAAAATTCAACAGAAAATTGCCAGCCTATTGCTATTAAAGCCAAACGGTTTTCTAAAGATGAATGCAAATTTATAGAAACAGAAATACAAAGATTATTGAAAGAAAACATCATTGAACCAAGTAATTCACCATGGAGAGCACAAGTTTTAGTGACAAGCAACTCAAATCATAGGAAACGTATGGTTGTTGATTATTCGTTGACAATCAACAAGTTCACTTTATTAGATGCATATCCACTATCCAATATTGATAAAATCATCAGTCAAGTTTCACAATATGAATATTTTACTTCCATAGATTTACATAGTCTTCTTTTTTTATGCGAACTTGGTGAAACATCTCTCTAACATCAGCACAAAAGGCTATTTTGCTTTGCGAAATTTCATAAGTACCTCCACCACAGGCTGCAAAAGCTCAGGACCAGGTAACAGGCTATCATTGATTGGATTTAGCAGCAGCGTCAAATACTAATCGAAGCTTGTTTGGATTAAATACTGGGAAATGTGGTAAATACCAACATCTTGGGCTTTCGATTTTGGCCTCTCTGTCTGTCAACTCTTTAGCATATCCTTTTTCAACGTAGCTTTTAATTTGGTTACCATATTTCAGTCTCAGGGTAGGGTCTTTTTCCATTTTCCTTTCTATGCAGTTAAGTCTTCGGATCGCTGCTGACTTACTTTCAGGTAAATTAAAAGTGTCGGCGTTCCATAAGAGTCCAATTTCATATCTGTTGTCAACTTGTCGTGCTGTCTGCGTCATAATGTCCAGTTATACGTTGAAAACTCCAAAAGCGTCGGTCAAAAATGAATGTCTTAGGTAAGTAATGTTGATGTAATTCTTTGTCGTATATTTCATGTTCACAAATATGAAAGGAAAAATGTGTTCTGGGTATATTTGGATGCTGATCATTGTAGTGTCCATGAAGAATCCAGCCTAACATGGTTTTAGTAGCTATAGGTAAATAAGCAGGGCCTTGAATAACTTTTCTAAGTACAGTCAATCGTATATTATCTTGGCCAATCAAAAGCAAAGGTGGATTATTTATGTCTTGAATAGGTAAACCTGCTAAATGTGAAAAATGTTGCCATTGACTTTTCAAAACGTGTTGATTTGGAAGAGCAAGATTTTTCACAGAACGGACCTTTCTTAATTTAAACTGTATGGTCTGATGGTAATTAGCTGATACAGGAATATCGAAACATATGGAATCTTCATTGGTTCTTACAAGTTTGTTAGTCCACTGCACGCAGAAAGGTTCTCGTTTCCCCTGTACTCGTAGATTTTCTAGAAGTGACTCATCAATCAGAGTAACTGTCGATTCCTCGTCACAAAGAGCTACTACTGTTACTCTAGTACCACTCGGACCATAAAGAATAACATTTACCATTCTAAGTAAAACGTTACCTTTTTCTTTGTCTTGTCTAGTATAGTTAGTATGTAGTCTTTATTGGCTCTGGTTAAAATTCGTATTATTTTCGTCATCTTATTTATTTGATCTCCCCGTCTAGACTGACTGCTATGGATGTCTCTTGTTTCTTGAATCTCGTGTAGAAGTTTATTGTGAGGTCGTGTGCAGTTATCTACTCACACAGGTTTTTCTGGATTTGCACTTCGTGATATGATGACTACTCTTCAAGCATGAGAAACACAATTCTTCGATCCAGAGAGTTCTGGGACTTTATTGGGAATCTAAAATGGATATGTTTTGTTTCAGAGTTAACACTGTTGACAGAGAAATTTCTAAAACTTGCCGACCGACCAAGAGGCAAGTTCTAAAAATTGTCATGCCAGGTTTTAACCCTTTAGGTTTGGTAGTCAATTTGTCAATTCGGGGCAGAATACTTATAGAAGACATTTGGCGCAGTGGCATCGGTTGGGATGACAGAATAGATGAAGAACTTTTAAAGGTATGGAAATTTTGGTTGAATAATCTTGAATTAGTTGCAGATCTAAGAATTCCCCGATGTTATTCATTCCATATTCCTGAAGCTAAAAGAATAGAGTTACACGTATGCAAGTAAAAAAGCATTTGCATGTGCTGTTTACCTACGAGTAATTACCAAAGAAATAATTGACACCTCACTTATCATGGCCAGAGCAGGAGTTTCTCCAATAAATCTGATAGGAAAATTTGGAGATGGGTACCTTCTAAATTAAATCCAGCTGACCTTGCAATAAGAACCTACGACACACAAAGTACAATTATAACAGATTTCAAAACATGGCACTCAGGTCCTGATTTTCTCAAAGAAAATGACGAATTGTTATGGCCTAAAAAAGATATGTTTGATGAAAATTTGGCGTCTCAAGTCACACAAGAATAACAACCAACATTTTTGGGATTAACTGTGGTAACATGTCAGTTTTTACCTAACATAAAACATTTTTCAAAATGGCTTTGTTTAATAGGTGCAACAGCAAGAGTTTTTAAATTTATTAGTACCTATACTCCAAACAAAAAGTCACTCAGAAGAGTTGACAGTACAAGATTTAAAAGAAGCTGAAACTATAGGCTGAAACAAGATGGATCAGACAGTGTCAATTAGAAAGTTTTGCAGAAGAAATAAACTGTTTGAAGAAGGAAAAACTAGTGTCAAAACAGAGTAGGATATGGAAGTTCTCACCGAAACTTGATGCAACAGGTATTCTTGTGGTAGATGGAAGATTAAACTTGGCACCAGATACTGTGACACTGACAAGAAGTCCAATAATCTTACCATCCAAACACAGATATACCATGTTACTTATTCAAAAGTATCATGAACAGTTCGCACATCAGGGTTTACAGACTATGGTAAATGAAATCAGACAACGTTTTTGGATAATACATCTCAGAGCTTCAGTCAAGAGTGTATTTTCAAACTGCCAGTGGTGTAAAGCCAAGAAAATTAGTCCAATTATACAGAAGATGGGACAGCTACCAATAAATATTCATTAGACATTGTAGATGAATATTCAAGATTTCCGTTTGCATTTCCATGTTCAGATATTGTCATCTGCAACAGTAATAAATTGCTTGACTCAATTATTCTCGTTTGGTACACCAGGCGATAGAGAAGCTTCTTTTCTGAATCATTTTTAACAAGTCATGGTGTTGCCACAAGTCGTAGAACTGGGTACAAACCAGAGGGAAATGGACAATGTGAAAGATTTAATGGCAACGTAAAACAATGGCAAGATGTATTATTAGATTCTACATTCAATAAGATCTCTTTTGAGTACTGCAACTACTTCTACACCTCATAAACGCATGTTCAACCATCCTAGAAGATCGACTAATGGAACCTCCATGCCTACAAAATATGATTCACTAGTAGAAGTTGATTTTCTAGAAGCAAATTCAGATTATGCTCATGTACGCGTATCAAATGGAAGGGAAATAACTGTACCTATCAACTCGTCATTTAGCACCAAGGGAAGATATGCAATGACATTGGAGATATGACACTACCAGAACAAGATCAAAATGCCATAAAACTGCCGGAACAAGATTTTAATGAATTAACTATTCCTAAAGAAAACCTTACATAAGTCAGTTCAGAACGTTTATCATCTTCGTTTCCTATAAATGATTCTAATCGCGTTCCCTTTCTCAAAATTCTGAACAATCTCACAATGAAAATCCGCCAGCTTTATCTACAGTGAAACCTACTGATGAATATGGTCGGAGAAATTATAGGTCTTCATATCTTCAAGATTATGTCAGAAACTGAGCGAGTATGAATGTTGTAAAATCTCATTACCTTATTAAAACTGTGTTTCCTATTTATTTACTTACCTGTTATGTTGTATGTCATTTTGTCAGTTATATGCAGTTATCGTCAGAATAATCTGATGATAATCTGTACTGAATTTTAGCTTATTAAAAGCCTCAATTCTGCAGGTCTTTTACTACAATAAGAAATTCAAAATTTTATTGTGCTTTTTAAAGAGATGTGGGTTTTCTGATCCCCTTATGCATTAACGTTATTATTATGTCTATTATAAACTAACCCACCAACGTTAAATATAGCCTCAACTCTGTATCTACTGCACAAGCGCCTTATTCTCGATACGAGGGAGCAAGATCTCTATGACAATAAGTGCCCTGTCCTTATTACTTCCTTTGAAAAACCTCATATGAGTTAGAAAGACAAAACATTTGTTCTCATGAAAACGCTGTTTTCATGTTTGGAGAATCAGGCGCCAGACGCCCATTCTTTTCAACCGCTCTACTGAGTCTGCTTCTGCTTCTATAAACTTTGAATCCATAAGACTCAATATACGTATAAGCTTTACATATCTACAGGGTTTCCTCATTTAACTGGTCAAAAATGCTAGGGTATTTAGAGGAACCATAGAGAAGTAGTTTGAGATCGGACACCGATGGTCGGAAATGCGTCGTTGCCAAAATACTGGGTGTTGAAATTTTACAAAAAAATCGAATTTTTCCCTCTGTATTGAAAACGATTTTAGCGATTTTAATGAAATTTTCAGGATTTAAATGTTAGGTGACGATGCAAACTTTTTGAGGACTTGCGGTTGCTTTGATTTGCCCAGGGACGAACTTGCAGCACATGTGTGTTTAATTTGTTGGAAAAAAATGGTACGCCACTGTTTTTTCGATTTAAAAAAAAAAATTATATAATCATTCAATTTCAAAAAAGGACCCTTGAGTTTTTGCTCTCTGACGCACCGTTTTCTTCGGTTTTTATGGGTGAAAAAATTAAATCCATACAAGAACCTTATAGTTATTTATGTAGCAAGGGTACTAAGTAGATGATTATGCCCTGAGGGCGACAGTCTTACAAAGCCAGGGGCCTCTGGCCCGAGGGTATATATATCTATTAGTACCCGTGGTACATACAAACTTTTATGTCATACCAGTTGGTTTTGAACAATAAATATATATTTTTGTTAATAAAGAATAAGTTAATCGAAAACTGTTTTTTGCGTCTTCTTGCCCGCGCGGGCCATAATGTGTACTTTATACCCTCGGGCGACTTACGAACCCTCGGACCAGAGACCCTCGGCTTTGTAAGATTATCGCCCTTAGGCCATAATAGGTACTAATTATAATGTATTGTAATTGTAAAATTAGAACATCCTGTATTTTGGAAACGACGCACATCCGATCATCGGTATCCTGTCAAACTACTTCTCCATGGTTCCTCTATATACCCTAGCATTTTTGACCAGTTGAACGGGGACACCCTGTATATTATCTATGGGGATAATTTACTATAAATATACTTCGCCATAATCATAAAGTCCAGCATCAATAGGAACCCAAAAAACTTCACTGTAAACATTCTTTGGATACTAATTGGAACTGGAGACTTTATTTCTACCTACCATACAGAAGTAATTTTTGAGAAAATAAACAGATGAGCTTTATATCTGACAAATAAAACTAACCCAATCAAGAGCCGGGAATAGTCAAAATTTGCAATATACAGGGTGTCCCACGACGTTTTTCCCAGGTAATAACTTCGGAACACGTTATCCAATATACATAATTGAAATTTTGAGGATCTGGGTAACTTTTTGTGCCGCTTCTGCCACTGTCATTCAATTTCACCACTTTTGCTTCAATTTCGGTCAAGTGACGTCAACATTCGAGTCTCAAATGTAATCCATGGTATATTATGGCATGTTTTGTTAGAAAATTAAATTGCAAAATCGGCAATGCCATATTTGTTAAAGCTTTGTTAAAGAAACTGAAAAAAAATTATACAGTGGAACATACGATGATGCGTTCCGAAGTTATCATTTATAGGGAAAAACTTCGTGGGACACCCTGTATATTATATTCAAATTGAATGACTATTCCCGGCTCTTGATTGAAATATTTGGGTTGGGTTTGATAAACAGAATCGTTTCTGAGATATAGGATATATACAATCAAGAGCCGGGAATAAATTCTCAGAATTCGAATTATAAATATCGAAATTCAACTTTTGGCTATTTCCGGCTCTTAATTTGACTAATTTGGTTTGGATTTGATTGTTGAGAATGTTGAGATCGAATTTTCTCTGAGATATAAAACTAACCCAATCAAGAACCGGGAATAGTGAAAATTTGCAATATAAATATTCAAATTGAATGACTATTCCCGGCTCTTGATTGAACTATTTGGGTTGGGTTTGATTAACAGAATTGTTTCTGAGATATAGGATATATCCAATCAAGAGCCGGGAATAAGTACTCAAAATTTGAAATATAAATATCGAAATTCAACTTTTGACTATTTCCGGCTCTCAATTTGACTAAATGGGGAAAAAGTTGCGCAATCAAGAGCCTAAAAATAATCTGTCATCGAGTTCTGTGAACTTCTTGATTGAATCTTTAATAATAAACAAGATCTGAAGGATTTTATGAAACGCACTTTTTTCTCTTTTGCCCTGTCAGATTATTGACAGATTATTTGTAGGCACTTGATTGCGCAACTTTTTCCCCATTTTAGTCCACACAGTATCTTCAATGGTTTCCAAAATCCCCATCTAAGTTATTCCGGACACCAGAGACAATAACTTCGAACCATTTTTGCAAGGTAGGTTTATATTCATTGGTAGTAGGCCATAAAGTGATTCTTACCAGTGTAATCTTTTGTGTGCACCCGATATTTCTTCTATTTCAGGGTGTTCAATTTTCTGGTTAAAGCCCTTGGAATCGAGAAGAAAAACACAAATTCGCAAGGTTGAAATAAACAAAAAATGAGTAGAAATAGACAGAGAAAATTAAGAAAAATTGAAAAAGATGAGTTATTCCAAACAAAAATTCAAGAGCCGGGAATAAACAAAAATTAAAAAATGGGTAGGAAAATTGAGTTACTTTTTTCAGGATCTACGCTCTTGGGTTCGTTTGATTTTTTGTATTTGTAGAAATTTAGACGAAAACAAAAATTCAAGAGCTTGAAATAGATAAAAATTGAAACGAGAAAGTTAAGAAATTGAACAAAACTTGAGAAAAAATGTTTTAGACACATATTTTTTCTATTCCAGGCGCTTATTGAACTTTCTCTAAGTATAGAGAAATCTGAAAAACTTCAAGAGCCGGAAATAGATGAAAATCGAGAAATGGATTTAGGACTTACTTGTCTTGTTTCGTTGGTATATTGTTGCTGGCCACTTTGATATTTTTATCTTGCAGGGCAAATGCCGCCAGTTGCAACCCGTCGACCAAATATTTGATTCTGCCCCCTGAAACCAATAATAAGTATACAGGGTGTACCACACATTCAAAAAAATCTCAAATTAATGTCTCAAATATAGAACTTTTGATAGTTTAACTTTAACAACACAATTAAGCACCAAATTATCTACTTTCGACATGTTTCAACTCCTATTGGGGTCGGTTAAGATGGTTGTTGTTCACATTCAAAAAGTTCCTTGAAGAAAAATTTCTAAGAGTGTGTAAGATAATTCAAACAGGTTTAGTTTTGGTGTAGGTACTTAGATGCAGACCAATAATTTGAGAGATCCGCGCCACGTCTTCATATTCTAAATCGACAATAAATTTGCAGATGTTTATGAAACTTAGGAAAACCTGAGAAAATGTTCGTCTTGGTGCTCATTACAACATAATACTGAAAGTTGGATTATAGTTGTTCTAAATGACAAACAGGAGCTTAACAGGAATGTTTAAGAAAACTGCCACAAATTGGCTTAAAAAACGGGAGAAGATCAAGAAATATTGAAAAACTGAACAAAAGTAAGGTTATTATTATCCTTTTCCTAGAGATTTTGGATTTTGCAAGGGGTAAAACAATTTTTTAACAGGGTGTTCCAGAAAACTGCCTCAAATTTCTGAGAATCCATGATCTTTTTACAAGAAAAGAATAAACACCCCGTAACATGATTTGATTATTCATAATGGGGATAAAAAAGCAAACAGAGCTGCTATGAGTCTATGAAATCTCCAAGTTTCAACCCTGAAAAAATTTGAAGATATTGAGAGGCTTTGATTGGGTTTGAGATTCGAACTCATTTAGAGCCAACTAGATTAATCGGAAATCAGCTGAAGCGTCGATGAAAGCCAATCAAATAATTACAATCCGTTTCTGAAAACACTGATTTGTTTTGATTGTGCTCAACAAACTCAGAACTTCAGTCGAGGACAATCAGAAGTATTTGTGTTCTAGATTGATCAGAAATCACTTGAGAGCCAATCGATTATCGAATAAGTATCTATTTACCAGTCAAATACCGTTTTCGTCTAAAGAGTACTTAAAGACCAAAATCTTTGACATATGAAAATTTCTCAAAAACAGATTCTCACCTTCCAACTTTTTCCATAGAATATGCGTAAGATAGAACATAATCCCTTGACCAAACAGTACAAAAGGTACCCATTGATAGTAAGCGTGTCGCTTAATTTCTTCTTTGGAATTGATTCCGTAATTACCCACTCCGGGATGAGGTAAGTTTTCCATGTCTAGACGTTTAGCATCTAAATCTTTTATCTGGAAAAAAGAAAGGTCAAGTGAATTCACAGTCTAGGTTAATAGTAATTGAGCACGTGAATCATAATATGCAATATTGTACAAACTAGATTGTTTCTTACCAAAGTAAAAGTTGTCGTAAAAAAGCAATAAGTGTTCATAACTCTTTCGGGAACTCCTTGATCGGCGATACAATGTATATGTTCTCCAATGTACTGTCTCGAACAAACGAGAATGGTGGAGATAATGAAAACGAAAAACGTAAATCTATAGTGCAATTTGAATACCCAATTGTCGATGTTGTAGGTTTGTGCCGATAATCGTTTGACGAAGGGCACCACGCCCTCGAAGGTTTTCAACATGTTATTGTGTGGTGGTTCCTGAAAAAAATCAAATGTTTAACATAAAGTGGCTTTTCTACTTAAATCGCTATATGATTTATTTATTCAAGTAATGCTTAAATCACGACCAAGAAACCGCATTAGCGGATTTGCTTATTGAAGTTGAATGTTTATTTATTTTAACTAATAATTACAAAAGTTACGTTTCCTCTAAAGTGGTGCTAATTAGTCAAGAAATTCCTTACCTGATGTGGTTATAAATAATATCACTAATCAAAAAAGAAAAAACGAAAGTCTTTTATACACAGTTAATATTATACAAATTAGCACTGAAATTTCAATGATACTGTACCCCTTGATCTCACATCCAATTGTCAATTTAGAGTAAATTAATTTTGGTTAATTGTCGCGACCTGTGTGTATGAAACCTGCGCGTTGGTTTTCACTGTACCTATTGTCATCACATCAGCAACTGATAAGATTGGATTTTATGGATGAAATCCGACTTCTGAAGGCGAATAAAATTATCAGTTATTATTAACCGTGTCAGATTTCAATCAGGTCGGATGTTTGGCTAGAAATGTTACTCTTTGTCCCCTGAACGCATTATATCATTTTCAATTTTGATAACTGTGTTTGGCTATGTCATTAAGTATTTCCGATTGGAATGGTAAATTAAAAACAATATAGTATAGGTACAAATATTTTTTTAAATTTTCTAGTTCGAAGGACGAATATTGTTTGTTGTACTTTACTTTGCAATAAGGGTTGGGGGCGCTAGAAGTGTTCTGAAAATCAAAAAAATATTGGTAACTAAAATGTTAATCAATTGTATGGTTTTAGGATAAGCTGGTCAAAAATTCCTTGTGCCAGAGTTAGTCGTCTGCTTATAAATTTCGAGAGCTTATACATAAATCATTTTTGATCCTATAGGCATTGTTTCAATTTAACGATTTTTCTCTATTCTTGGAAACGCAATTATTGAGAAAACAAGGGTTCTAAAAATAAAATTGAACGTAAGAAAATCCTTCATATAGTCATTGGGTATTCTTTGTTAATGTTTGGAATAAACGTTTTAAAATATAGGAGGCATGTTCACTATTTTAATTTTTGACAGCCTCTTGATTGTATTCAGAAATATTCACAATGAATTAGAAGCCGGAAATAGCTGCCTATCAACACTTTTCCCAGTTTTTTCCCCAAATTGTTCATGTTCTTTTCCACCTTTTTCTAGTTTTTTTTTTCTTAAATTTTATTCGAAGATAATAAATAAATAAATAAATTGTTTATTTAGCATAAACTTCATATAAAATAAAAAGAATAGAATAACAAAATCTTCACAAAATTCATATCCAATTCAAAACAGCCCATTAACATTTTAAATTGATTGATATTATGACAATTTTCGATATTATGGAGAGAATTTCATACATCTATCAAAACTGGTATTCCAACAATAAATTGACATGTTTTGATTGTTGATTTGGATTTGAACCAATCAGATTGTAATTACGCGATAATTTGCACTAGTGTAAATTATCAGATAATTGGCATACTAACTGGTGCGAAAACTGGTGTTTTGACAAAAAATTTAAATTTTTGTTTTATGAAATTCTCTCATTAAATACAACTCGTGCAATGGAAATATATTTATAATTTTCGACAAATTTGCACTCATGCGTTTTTAACTGAAAAAGGCACTCGTCAACTAAAAATGCATTCGGGCAAATTTCCCAAAAATTATCAATAATTTCCATTGCACTAGTTATATTACTATTGATAATTGATTGAATTCATGCTTGCCTTTAGAAAGTACCTAAAGAATTCAACAATTGCGCAATATTGCATCTTTACGCCAAAAGGAAATCACCACAATTCCTAGTAATATATTCATGTATAGGTACATCTCTAAAAACAGTTACTCTATCACAGATATAATTTGGTAGTAACTCTCAATCTTTAATACAAATACATATACATTAAAGATAATTTTCTAACAGACAACACATTCAAAACATCATGCATAACCCTGATAGGAATATATCGATTGCATTTCAGAATCACCCTCATAGCCCTGTTCTGTATTTTTTGGATCTGCTCCACCTTGAAAGTAGGCAATGCATACAAAAGTGTGGAACAGAATTGTAAATGAGGTAGTGCAATGATATTATTATACAATAACATTTTTTTTGCCAATCGACAAACTATTTCCCAGCCTTGAAATAAAACCAACCTTTTTGGAAAATTTTCTCACAACATAATCAGCATGAGCCTGGAAATTTAAATTTAAATCCAAAATCACCCCCAAGTACTTGATTTGGTTTTCATGTGCCAAAGCTCCATTATTCATGCTGATGTTTATGTTATCTACATCGATATTCTTTATTTTTGATCTTTTAGCAAATACACAATAGGTACTTACTTAGATTTCTCAACGTTGATGCAAAGATTGTTATCACAGAGTCACCCACATAATCTATCCAATTCCACATTCATAATCTGTTGTAATTGATTCACATATCTGCCAACAACGTACAGCATTGTGTCATCCGCAAACAAAACAATTTCACTTTTACTCAACACACTACCTATATCATTTATTTGAAAATATAGTAAAAACAGCAATGGAGTAATGGACCCAGAACAGTTCCATGGGGTACAGCATAATTTACATTCATTCTATCAGACACACTATTCTTAAATTTAACACATTGGACTCTATTACAAAGATAAGACCTGAACCAACTGAGAACAGTACTCTAAACTTCCATAATTGTCCAACTTTTTCAACAATATATATCTCTATTAACAGTTTCAAACACTCTCTTAAAATCTAGAAAAACAGCTGAGACAATTTTATCACGGTCAATTGCCTTGAGGAAATCATCACAGATGCTCATAATAGCAGTCTTACAAGAGTGTTTTTTACGAAAACCTGACTGATTTGAGACCAATATCTGGGTTTCTATCACAGTGTTGTTGGAGCTGCTCCATTTTCATAAGTTTTTCATATACAGGTATCTAGAGTGTTTATAGATCTAAACTCTTTATGCTGTTTTGTATTGTTCACCTTGGGGACTGGGATGACCATTGGCTCTTTCCATGACTCAGGAAATACACCACTTGATAGAGAGACATTAATCGTATTAAGAATTCTATTACCAATGACATCGCTGAGCACTTGTTTGGAAATGCCACTGTCACCACCTGCAACTGTTTTCATGCCTCTCAGAATTTCTATCAATTTGCTCATAGATATTCTCTGAAAATGAGTAAAGGCACCATGCGTAATGTGATGTTGATGTGTGATAGCAGAATTAGCACCCCTGGTTTTTGGCAAATTGTCAATTAGTTCAGAAATACTACTGATTTCATCTACCAAAATTAAGCCGTCAAACAACAACAACCTCTTTAGGAGAATGGTGGTTCTTTCCAATGTTTTAAGGTTTTTCCACAATTCTCTTGGATTATGTTTATTTCCGCCTCTTGATAGTATTTCTCCTTCTCAATCCTAATCTGGGGCCGGATTCTCGTCTGAGGGAGTAGAGCTCCCCGATAGAACGAATTTTTTGTCCTTTAATCGAAAAATAAACGAAAATGATAAAGACGAAGAATGTGTTTTCTCGGGGAACTTCACTCCCTGCTCCAGAATCGGCCCCCTGGAAGTTGTAATCATTCCTTTTCATCTTAAACTCATTTCAAATAATATCATCCCTTACAATAACAGCGCTCCTATATAATGCACCCCTATCCTTCATCATTTCCCTTACTCCATGTGTAATGCAGTGCTTATCAATCAATGTACTTCTACTTGATACATATTTTTGTTTTTGGGGCACATGACTTCTAATATGTTTGTTATACTTAGTACAAATGAATCTGCCAATACGTTAACATCGGTTACATTGTTGTTCCATGCCGTATTATAGAGGGCATCTGAAATGAGATAGTAACCATTTTGTTTCGGATAAATCTGGATACACCTTGGCTTATTAGACCTTATAATACCAAATTTGAAACATGCGAAAAATATACCTATATTTCTCGGTTTTCCATGAACGTATAGTATAATAGGCCATCCGCCGTAAGCTTAAGTATCAAAGATTATAAATAAATATAACATACAACATACTATGTAAGTATAGTTTTTTACTACAGTAATATGTATATTTTTTTTCAAAAAATATTTTTCTACGAGCGTGCGGGAAGACTTTTTTCCCGCACCAGTGCGGGAAGAGTTTTGAATAATCATTGTGACATGGAATTGTTTGTATTGTTGATACACCTATACCTTTACCTTTAATACCTTTACCTTTTTTTTATAAATACCTTTCAATACATTTTTAATTCTACCTTATAGTTCCTAACTCTTGCGGGAACAAATTTCCGGCACTCGGGCGCTTCGCACCCTCGTGCCGGAAATTTCTCTTCCCGCACTCGTTAGGAAAATAGCTATTCTTTCTTGTCTCTGTTATTTAATATACCTAACTTGACACTTTACCTCGTAAGATTACAGTTTTTGTCATTTAATTTGTTTCTGCCATTTAATTTACATTTATCCAAACTAACCGACACCGTACGTATTCGTAGTAGTATTGTCTTTGCCGACACTCATTTTTGAAACTAGTTTTTAAAAAAAATAGTATTTTGATATAAAAAATTAATTTTAGATTTAAGATAAAAAATTAATGGACAGATGAAATAGACACTTCCGAAACCCCAGTAATTGATAATTATAAAGGGGCGTACGTAAAAGAAGAGGAATATTCATATAAATCCAATTCACCAACACTACGAGGTGATATCAACAAGTTTCACTGTAACAGTTTCTTCAATAGGTAACTCTAAAACCAAAAATAATTCACATTTAAATGTGCATCAACAGATAAATGAGGACTTCGAATGCTATAAATGCAATGCAAAATTTGAAAATGAAGGAGGATTGAAAACCCATTCCATCATACATCTGGATGATTATCCCTATAAATGTGACAGCTGCGAAGCAAAATTTAAATTTATTGGTGATTTGAGTAATCATT